TTTAGTTTACCAGACTTTACAAATTCCTCATGAACTGCATTAATTGGAACGAAAACTGAATAAATACCTTTTTTGAATTGTGCACCCGTTGAAGGGGTGTGCGGTGACCATAATCGAAAATCAATAAGGCGGCTGGCACATATGAGGAATATGGTCGCCAATGGCAGGCTGTTAACGTTAACGGGCAATGGCCCAAAGTCGATTATGAATATTTGATGCGGTGGCGGTCCGTCCAACTGCGCAGTTGACATGGCCAACGGATGAGGGCCGCAAAGGTAGCGAACGCACTGCAGGCTATTAACCAAGACTAGCGGCAGACAGCAATATGTGCCGGGTTAATGACACCTCACCTACTACCACAATAGCACTTTCATACTGCGGTGCCTGGCACACCCTGTTGCCATCGATTTTGGCCAGGGATCCGGGATCAAGATGACGCCATGCCGGAATGCAGGACCTCGGGGCCATAAAGCCGCGTAATACCCAATAAAACAATTAAGTTAATACACGAATGCCCCGGAAAGTGTGCTCTCTCTTTCTGCCCCATTTTAGGGAGCTGCCAAGTGCAACAATTGAGCGAAAGTGGGAAAGAGCACCCACACATACATATATATATACATATATATGGGGACCCTAAATGTTAGCCAAGGCCAAGTCAAGTTGGTCAAGAAGAAGAAACAGTAGAAGCAGCAGCAGCTTGCATGCCAATGGCCAATAAGTCGCTGTGGCACGCAAAAGAAAACCCCGAAAATGCGGGGAAAATGCCGAGGAAAGGCTGAGAAAAGCGGCGAACACAATTAGAGTAACTCGCTTAAATTTACAGAAAATGGAAAGTGTGCTACAGAGACGTGAGTGTTAGTTCCACACTAACTTTGTTTGACCGCCCCTCACACACATTTTGTTGGCCAAATAATATTAGAACACTGCACTGAAGAAACTAGCTACCAGAAAGTAAGGGCCACTAAAACTAACTAGACATTTTTCTTGGTTCTAAACATTGCATATAGATCGTTTGAAATTTTAAAATTATTTCCTAGCTGAATTTTATAAATCTTACAAAATAAATCAAATATTCTTTTATATTTTAAACTTTAATGGGGTCGTTCATATTCTAAACCATATTTTAGTGTGACGAATTTCGCTAAAAATAATATTATTTGCTAGCTGAATTTTATAAATTTTACAAAATAAATAAAATATCCTTTTATATTAAAGACTATAATAAGGTTATCTATGACCATAATCCATATTTTAGTGTGCCTAGAGTGATCGATTTTCGCTAAAAAATCCTCCTGTGAGCCTGCAGTTTACAAAGCGTTCAAAATTAGGTTATCCTTTTTAACACAGTGTAATGTTGGATGTCTGGGGGTCAGCTTCTGGCGGATGTGGCTGTGGCCGGAAGTGGATGGCGTCGAATTGGGGAAGACCCGCCAGCAAAAGGAAGCCCGCCACACCGACACAGATAGAAAGGCGGCCAAGTGTTGAGGTTGCCGCTGACGCACTCCGAAAGAGACGCCCTTCGCGGCCCTTTTGCAGAGGAGCATTTAAAAATAAATGCACTTGACTTGCAAAATGCTTGCGCCAAACAAAACAAAATGGCAGCAATAAATTTAGACAATGGCAATGGCGATGGCGACGCTGGAGAGTCGGCAATAAATGTTTGCCACTCACAAGCGGAACAACAATTGGCATAACAAGAGCTACGGGCTGTGCAACATTGACACGCTTTTCGTACATATTTGCAATGCCTTGTTGTTGCCGCGGGCTTTAGTTTTACATTTAGTTTAGTCCTGGCTAGTTTTTCACCCCTCCCTTTGAAAACAGCGAAAACAGGAAACATTCAGCCATGCAATATGCAAATGGAAAAAGCTTGGAGTTGCTTGCTTTTAGCACTTAAGTGGATTTTTGGCATTTGATGCAATGTATCTTGTCTGAGAAGGGGTTTGGCCAAAAAGGGAATTCCTTTGTGTCCGAAAGCCTTACAAATTCATTCCTGATAAAGTGCTTTGAAGTCTGTCAAAGTCAGTTAAGGAAGATTTATTCGAATTAGTTAAATAATGGACCATCTATTTCTATTTTGCTTATTTTCAGCAAGAACATAAATTATAGCTGCAAGCTTTTAAAATGTGTATTTATTGACTTATATATTTCAATAAATTTCACTGCCTTAAGAAAAGGTTTAATAAATCTTATATAGGTCTTCGTAATTGATTACCTCCCCTGCCTTCGATTTTAAATTTTAGATCTCCCTTTATAACCAAAGCTTCTAATTATTTTCGCTGATGTTTGCCCAACATTTTTCAATTAGCGTCAACAAAGCAAAGAAACCATTAATCACACATGAGGCTGCTCAGACTTTCAGCTTTGTCATCAAATTCAGCCAGCAACTTTATAATGACCCCATGGCTATATGGCTATATGGCTGTTGTTTTAGCCCAGTTTAGTAACCCGAGAAGCCCTGTTTTGAGGGAAAATGTCTGGGGAAAGTCAAGGCTGTACGGCGACGGACAATGTCAAACCATTTGAGGGCAATTAAGGGGCCATTTTGTAATGTTCTGCATACGTGTTTAGCAAATTATGTTTGCAGATTTATGAGCTCCACTAAATGAGTGTGTGTGTGGGTGCTGCCATAAATTTCACCAGCCATTATCTGGCCAAGTTTTTATGACAAGGCCAGGAGCAGTCAAAAGAAATGGCTTTCGTCCTGCCTCTCACGCTTTTGGCCAACTTTCGCTGGGAACAACGAAAAGGTCTCACCTCATTAAAATGGGAAATTAATTGCATTCTGCCACGGCCTCAAGGCAATTCAACAGGTTCCAAGGTGAAGTTGGCCACTTCTCGCACACACACACACACACTTGAACCCACAAACACAGATACCCACCCATACAATCAAGGAATTAATTGTCGAGCTGCGGGGCTAACATGTTGCATGCATCCTTAGCAAAAAATGAGAAATATAAAAGCCAACTGCAACAAGAGCTGCCAGTTTGCATGCAGTTTAGTTTCATTTTGCGCCAGAAATAATTGCAATAAAAGCGGAGAAAAACTTTTGCCTTTCGTCTGCACGCGATTAAAATAAATGGAAAATTCAAGCAGCGCGAATAAAAGCTTTCAATTAAATCAAAAGTTACGCTTATAAACGCTTTGTTACCTGGAGGATAGGGCAAAAAAGTGGTGAAATATAAGAAGTAATTACAATCCGGCAATTATAACAACAATTAACAATAATTATAACATTTATTTAAATGGTTTTCAGTAAATGAATCATAAAAACGAAATTAATATGTAAGTAGTCCTTAAAACCTAGGAATTATAACACATAAAAGATCGTAGCACATAATTTGACAAAGAAAAAATTATAAATATTTAAAATTTGGGTATATGTACAAATTGTTTTGTATACGATTGAAGCATTAAACAAAAAAACTTATAAAAAGTAAGCTTAAGTTATATATTTATATAAAATGTTCAATGTTTAATTGGCCAATTATTTTATAAACCAAGATCTAGAACACGTCAAGATATAAGGCTTTAAATTCCACTTCCGTTCCCTTAAGTTCATCATACCCTGCCCAAAATGCATACCCCTTAAACTCAAAGAGAAACTCGCCAGAAATGTTGTCAAAAATGTGACTGCTCGAGCTTTGGCATTGCCATTCGGAAATTATATAATGCCGAGTACCCACTTGGGCTTGGAGCTAATAAACAACAATTTAGTCGGACTAAAATGCAACAAAACTATATAATTTGCGTCGCAGCCATAACTGGCGAACTCTGACCCCTGGCACGCGAGGTGAACGAGGTGAAAGAGGTGAAAGGGCAGCGAGAGTGACAGGTGGCGCACAAATCAGCAATCTGCATGCGAATGGCTATTCACGTGGGCCAAAATGTGAATACGTGAATACGAATGCGGGAATGAATACGAAATGAAGACGTTTTGCACGACGGTCTGGGGTCAGTTAACATTTTTCAGGGCGCTACGCATGGCAATCCATTTGAAAAACTCGCGGACTGTTAGGCATATTACTTGCCATTTCCGGCGGGGCGTAAAAATTCAAATTTGATTGCAATGCGGCAGAAACTGAATCACAGGGCTGAAATCTGGGCAAAGGCCAAATAAGCAAAGGAAGCCAAAAATAGGCATTTAAATGCAAAGGGCCCAGCCTTCGGCGATTGCAAATTAACGCTAATAAATAAGAGAAGCGGCCTCGATTCTTTTGTTCCAGAATTTACCAACAATTGCATTCATTTGCATACGCAATTATGCGATAATTGCCACAAAGTGTTCCCAGCCCCAAAATGTATGCTACAAATAAAGCAGAAATGGAAATGAAAAAGGGGCAGGGGGAAATCACCAACCCAATGATTGGTTTCCTATCTTATCAGTTGTCCGCAACTATTGATTCATTACGCACAGTGGGCGTGGCACCTTTAACTAGAGTGAATCAATAAGAGGTTTCTAGGCGAGTGATTCATTGGTTGAACAAATGCGGTGACCTCGAAACAGGAATGAGATGGGTTATCTTTTCAGCACTTGTGGCCAAGGTTTATGATTTTAGGCAAACCGAATAGCTTCGATTTATAATGACTTTCCATCGCCATTTATTTTAAAGCTTAAGAAATATTGCTGATAGTTTTTATTGCAAGATTTGTTGTCAGACTAATTATTTGTAGGGAAATACATTTTAAGATATACCTAAATATTAATTTAGGAAACATGTTATAATAGCAATTTTTGAATATTTTAATCTCTTTCCATTAACTAAAAAAAAATAAAATTATTTTCTCGTTAAAGTAAGCATAAATATTAATGTTTATAAATTAAAACCAAACATAAGTCCCACTGTGCCGCCGTGTGTTTAATTACACGGCACGCATAATTAAGGTGCTTGGTATTTACGCGGCTTATCAGCCATCGATTTGCGGATAGATATAATTGCTTTCCAATAGGCGACCTTTACTGATTGCTGTCCCTTATCTCTGGCCATAAATTGCAGCTATTGCCCCCACAAAATGCTGCCAAACCACGCCTGAGCCTCAATCTCAATCTCAACCCCAATCTCAACCTGAACCTGAGCCCGGAACCACGACCCAGGGGCCAGGACCAGAACACAACTGTGATCATAGACATAACAACGAGAGTGGCGCAGGAAGGGAGCCAGGAGGGAACCGCAGCCACAGCCACAGCCAAAGATGAGGGAATCGGGGGACACAGCCAGCAGCCTGCCAGACCGCAACTGAGCGATTTATAGATCCGCAGATAATACCGGGCCCGGAAATCGGAATCAATTGCCCCGGCGATAGCAATCGGCAATCAGCAAGAGGAAAGGACACCAGAGCAGCAAACTCGCCAAAGGAGGCTGTAATGACGACAATTGACGCGATGTAGCGGTGAGTCTCTAAGCACTAAATTCATGAAAAGCAAGAAAAAACCATCTAATTTGAACTATTAAAATCAAAATACATTTGCAATATGAAAAATATTAAATTTAAAAAGTAAATTGCCATTTTGTATGTTATGAAAACAATGACAATTTTATAATTTAAATGTATAAATAACTCAGAAATTAATTCAAGATTACGAACTAATGATCCTAACACCTATTTAGAGCATGAATTGCTAGAAACATAATAAACTAACGTTCTTACTATTTCTTTTAATTCTTTAAATTTTAAATGAAAGAAGTATCTTATTTCTGTTGAAAATGTAATGGCTTTCATTTTAAAGTAAATAAACACCTTTGTCTGGTAATAAATTCAGCTCTCAGTGCCCTTTCATCTTCGTGGATAATAAATCTGAGTTTTCCAATTGCAGCAGACTTATGGTCGGCGAACGCGACAGGGACCGTGAGGCGGTACGCTGGGCAACGGGTGAATCAACACCGCTTCAAACCAATAATGGAGTATTACAAATGGTCGGGCAATTGCAAGGTGGACAGGCTGCTGGCCAGCAACAGCAACAGCAACAAGCGACTCAGCAACAGCAACAGCAACTCTCAAGGCAGCAGCAACAGCAACAGCAGCAGCAGCAGCAGCAACTGCAACACAAGCAGCAACAGGACATCCTGTATCAGCAACATAACGAGGCAATTGCAATTGCACGCGGACTGCAGGCTGCAACACCTGCCGACATCGGCGATAATCAGCCGTACTACGATACAAGCGGTAATGTCGATTGGGAGCGGGCGATGGGAACCGGTGGAGCTGGTGCATATGGTGGCATCGGCATCGGATCTCTACCAGCAGCTGGCGGTGCTGCTTATCACCTTGGGCCAGCTAATCCCGCAGGCCTCGTTCCTCGTCACATGGATTACGCTGATGGCGGCCACCTTGCTGGCCCATCCGCCGGTCTTCCTGCTGGAGGTGTGGGCGGACCGGCAGTCACGGGATCAGGATCCACAGGAGCGGGAGCAGGAGCAGGAACAGGACCAGGAGCAGGAGCAGCAGGCAAGGAAGTTCGCTACGCCCCATTCCCAGTCGCATCACCAACGCACTCGATTCCCACAACCTCCCAGCAGATCGTTGGCAGCGTCGGTGGCGGGGGCGTCGGTGGTGCCACCAGCAGCCAGTCGATCTCTGGCGGTGGCGGTGGTGGTGTGCCCACCAATCACAGCCAGAGCAACACCACCGGCGCCCTGCAGCGGACACATTCCAGATCCATGTCCTCCATACCGCCGCCCGAGCCGTTCATGATAGCCCAGTCGAAGGCGGTCAATAGCCGCGTGTCCATCAACGTGGGCGGGGTGAGGCACGAGGTCCTTTGGCGGACCCTGGAGCGACTCCCACACACGCGGCTCGGGCGGCTGAGGGAGTGCACCACCCACGAGGCCATCGTGGAGCTGTGCGACGACTACTCGCTGGCGGACAACGAGTACTTCTTCGACCGACATCCGAAGAGCTTCAGCTCCATCCTGAACTTCTATCGCACCGGCAAGCTGCACATCGTCGACGAGATGTGCGTGCTGGCGTTTAGTGATGACCTGGAGTACTGGGGCGTCGACGAACTGTACCTGGAGTCCTGCTGCCAGCACAAGTACCACCAGCGCAAGGAGAACGTCCACGAGGAGATGCGCAAGGAGGCAGAGTCCCTGCGGCAGCGCGACGAGGAGGAGTTCGGCGAAGGTAAATGCGCCGAGTACCAGAAGTATCTGTGGGAGCTGCTCGAGAAGCCCAACACCAGCTTCGCCGCCCGGGTAAGTCCAGTCGGTAGCCCCGACCTTAAGGTATTCTATAGTGTCCCACATCCACTAACCCGAAACTGTACCCTCACAGGGAAAAAGGATATCGCCATAGTAGATCTCAATTTATATATTTAATCGTTATACATGATAGCGCTAACTATCTATTTATCAGAAATTTTAGTGAAATTTCAATTCAGTTTCTCAATTTCAAGTTTCACATTCAGATATTCCATTCACAACAAAATGTATGGTGAACCCACTTTAGTAACAATTGTATATTTCCTTAAAATTTGATTCCTCCTCAAATGTACAAATATTAATATAACTCTGGCATTACTAACTATTAACAAATAAAAACAAATTAAACTTTCAGTTCACAATACCAAAAGAGGTTTCTTTATGCCAATCGATACCTTAATCGTTACTCGTTACTGGTTACTCGCTACTCGTTTCGAATTATCTGTCTAGAGTATCAAAAATTATTCAAAATTTTGTATCTGATAAGAATTCAGTTTTAACTAAACCGGATAATCCTTTTTCTCTGTGCCCTACCCAAATCCCCCCAAATCCCTCCAACTGATACCCAAAGATTCTCATAGATGTGTTCGTATTGTGTTTCTAACCGTTGAACTGTGAACCGTGTCAATGTCAAGCGTAAGAAACCCTATTTAGTTCGATAACCCCAATAACTCCCCTCCTCCAACTTATATTTAACCTTTTGAGTTATTGATTACCTCTTGAGTTACTCTTATGTAGTCGAACTTTGGTTCTGTGCAAAGTCACTATTATTTTTACACTATCGCCAGCTCTTGCACTCTGTAATATAACTCAGCCGTCGAGCAGATCAGAGTACTATATAGTGTAAGAATAACAGCAACAGCAACATATCTATCTCTACTCTCTTTATATAAATAACCCACTCTCAATGCTGTACAAATCTTGCCAATTCATCACTTGCTTTTGCGACTCAAACCGATATATGCTTGCACTCTGAAAAGATATATAATCGATACCTTAATCGTTACTCGTTACTGGTTACTCGCTACTCGTTTCGAATGTCCGCCAGTTATCTGTACCATATGATGTGATGATATCGCCTAACTATATCTATATCCCGCTGCTTGGCGCGCAGATCCCCTGGGATCGAAATCGGTGTATATATGGCTGATCTCATGTGAATATCCCATATCGAAGTGCTTCCAGCTTTTGTGTCATGTATCATACAGATCGGACAGGACAGTCTTCCTCCATCGGACGGAACTTGGAAGTCCCCGAAAATCTGAGAAGAGTAACCTCGAAAAAAATGATATAAAAAGAGTTCACGGCACCATTTGATTGAGTTCCTTTAAGTTCATAATTTCTGCTTTTGCCTAACCAATCCCACCATCCTCTCTTAGTGTAAGATGCATTGTATGTTTTAGTTTGAGTTTTAGTTATAGTTTTAGTTCGAGTCTTAGTAACCGAAACACGCGACGACACCCAGAGAGTTCCAATTAGCTAAAAGATCAAGCCAGAACTGATCGAGCGCAATCGAAACTGCCAAAATTGTTTACTAATCGTTTCTCTAATCCAGTCTTTTTACATCACACACAGTTTAAATGCGAAATTGACAAGCCCTGTATACATACAACTATATATAAACTTATTATATCTACTCTGAATATTATTAATACGTATATCTCTTAATTGTTGATGATGATGGTGAAGTAATATCTCTCTGTTTATCTCTAATGTTCTCCCCAAATCCCCCAAACACCCCACTGTAACTATGTTTGGGAATGGGCAATAAGCGATATGACCAGGCGGCAGGTGTGCTGTAGAAATCCTCGAAAATATTGTAACGAACAAGGACTCTGGGGAGAAGTGGCCAAAGCGGTGTTGTAATACATTTCCATTTTCCATGTGCTAGGGGGAAAATTCGATAGGATCCGGACCAGATCAGAATATTTCGGAGGACTCACGCTCCTTCATTCTGACTGGCCTTGTACCATATATATATATATATATATAGCTTATATATATAGCTTAAGGCCTCGGGCACACAACCACACACACATATATAAATATCACAATTGAAACACTCACTCAAAACGACCTCTGTTTGGCTTTAGCTTGTATTATACAGCCGATAATCTGCCCCGATTTATGGCATTAGCTTTGGCTTTAACCAAGAATATTGGTGGGAGAATGGAAATAATTACAACATTTTTGGGTGCATCTCCTATAATTTTTCATTCGATTTTTGGTTCCTTTTTATTTAAATTATGTACTTTTTATTTTAAAACTCATTTAGGGTTACCATTTTTATTTTTTTTTATTTTATTACAACTATGGAATGAATTCCTAGAAATTTCTAAAAACTTATTTAGAGTTTCGAAAGAATGTAATCATTCCATATGAACTATGATTTAAACTTTTTATTTAAACTTTTCGGTTCTTTTTAAAAGGTAATGAAAAATTTCCAGAGCCCTTTGCCAGTTGTACTTTTTATCGTATTTTCATTTATGATTTTTCTTCAAGAACTAACTCGATTTCCGTCAGAGAGAAAGAAGAAACTAACCAAGATTTTTAGTTCTGTACTTTTTTATTTTATTTTTAATACCACGCCTAAACACATCCTTTTTTCAACGAAATGATAAATATGAGAACCAACAAAACTAGCTCTGATCTAATATAAGTTAGAAAACTCAGTTGATATCTTCGCCTCGTTGAAAGCGACAAACAACTCAGCAAGAAACCAAAGCGCGCTCACAAGACAAACAAAAAAAACAGAAAATATCCAAAAATACTCCAAAAATATTCAAAAACGTTTATTTTATTTGTTATACTCTATAAATACACTTCAAAAACAACAATAACGAAACTGGAAATATATAATGTCCAAATTGTTGTTCAGTTGTTTGCCTTTTGTGTTGATATTTTCCTTTCCATTGGCGATGATATATGTACATATCTGTATGTCGTATATAAACCCTCGTATTCTTTTCCTATATATTTGATGTCATGTTGTAAACTCGTGTGTATTGCATATGGAAGAAATTTATTTAACTCTCGTTGTTATTGTATTTTAACCAACTTCCTTTGTAAGCTATTGGTCTCTTGATTACCTACAATTTTCGACACTTAAACAGAAACACAAAACACTCACACACACAACTAAATACACTTGAAAAATATTCTACGGTGCCTTCGAAGTCTTAGCCCCTTCTTTAAATCAGCATTTAATCAGAAAACTATCTTCCATCTGAACCCTCAAAGAATAAATTTAAAATTCATCGTCTCTGTTTGCTTTCAGTTTTAGTTTAGTCTTTTGATTTCGGTATACGAGACCCGTAACCAAAATAAATACATCGATCGAACAAAATCTCCTTCTTGAAATATTAACCCACCAAATTTGCTGCATTTGAATGCCACTAGTATAGAATTTCGTAGTCGATTCGTACTGAATTCTATAGCCGTTTGTATCGAATTTTGTTTGTTTTTTAGTGAGTCGAACAAAGTATGCGAACCAACTCATGCACCCACCGAAAACCACCCACCCCCCACTTCCCCCACTCCAGAAAAACCCCAACAAACCACCAAAAAAAAAACCGAAAAACCGAAACCACAAAACGTACAACCCGTAAAAAAAACACTCCACGTGAACCAAATGCAAACCTGATCAAATAATTTAGCCGGAACTCAGTTTCCAAAGACCCACAAGTACACACAAACACACACACCAAAACACGCCGACACTGAGCGAAAACACTCAAAGTTTTGCACTCCCCTATTTTTAATTAAAATTGAATGTGATTTTTAGTTTTGGTTTTCATCTGACCTGAAGTTTACCCTTTTTGATCTAGATTTAGTTTTGTATGTACAGCGATTGCGATGAGTTCCCCTCAAACCTTTGTAAATTTGTATATTTATCATAAATATCTCAATATCTTTAAGACGAAACTCTTATGTCCCGATTTTATTGTCGCATGAATTGTTTTTTGACTGTTTTTGGTCCTTATTTGTTCACCACCTCAGCTCATCTCTTCTCTTTCACTGGTCACCTTTATCTTTCTCCTCACTTTGCTTCAACCCTGAGATCTTGATCTGTTATCCATCGATCTTTCATTACTTGTAATTCAAGTGGATTTCAGCCAGGTTCAGGGAAGTTAATTCAAATTTGTTCTCCTGTTAGATGCGATTGCAAAAATTCCGAGTTTTCTGTTTTCAAATAGTTTAAAATCCAGCAAAAAAGTATAAATTGCGTAATTATGTAAACAAAAGAAATCTAGGATTTAACAACATTTAAAAAATAGTAGACCTTGATAAACTAATTAAGTCGAAAGAATTATCAGGTTATAAATACTAAACTAAATACTTAAAATCTTAAAATAATACCCATATTTTGCTTCTCAAAATATTCTACCTCAATGCTCAAACTTTGCAAAAGTATCCAAATGGTCGGACTACCGACGATCAGCTTCCTTTTTCGCTTTAAGTTTTTTTTTTGTAAATCTTGTGGCTCTGTTGTCAGCGGCTTTATAGACGGAATTTTGATTTTTGTAGGCCTAAAGCAGCAGAAAACGCTTTGAACTTTGTAGTTGTTGTGAGTTTAGTGCATTTTCAGTTACCTTTTGAGTTCCCTGTTCCCCCGGAGACTGTGATCAAGTAAGCCAGCTAGGAGTATTGCGAAATCATGTTTTACTTTCAACCCAGCGAGCCCTATCCATCCCCCCGAAAACCCCCCAACCACCTTCATGACTGAGCAGCAATGGTAGCAGTTCCAAAATCCAAAACAACAGTATGCCAAAGTGATATAATTCGCACACAAATTTTTTGTTTACGAAACTCCAATGCATTCTGTTCAATCGAAAGCGAAATAAGAATCGAAAGTAAATTAGTTTGTAAAGCCTCACCGCCATCTCAAGTAGATTGTTGAAAACCCCGCCCCGCCCCGCCCCGCTCAATCCCCAAATCCCCCAAAACTATGGAAATTTAATTAACTTTCCCGAAGTTTGACAGTCCAAGACCAAGACCACTTCAATGCAAGAACATCTCTATCCAAAACTCTATGTATATCAAAACCCTGTTTCTCTATTTCCAATCCCCTTTAGGTGCCCTCTCGCACATGTATCTTACTATAGTATCTAGTATCTAGTATCTGTACTTTGACTTTATTCCACTTCTCCTTCTACTTCTCATCGTTGCTAACTAGCACCATCCAAATGTTTTCTCTTTTTGATTTCTTTTTTGGTTCTGTGAGTTTGTGTATCCTTTAGTGCGTTTCGTTTATCCTTACGTAATGACTCCTTCTTGACTATGTATCTTTTGTCTAATAACTGCATAATCTGTATCTTTAACTTTTGTATCTATACGTAGCAAGCCATATAAGCCATAAATAGAGAAGTCAGCCCATCCAACGAAGCAGAACTATGAAATTCAGCTTTCCCCCCTCCCTCCCCGAAAAAAACCCCAAGTCCAATGTCCAATGTCCAATGTCCAAGATCCAAGATCCTAATCCGAATCCGATTCCGAAACCAGAACTGCGTGGTTGCGTACAGTGGCCTACTATGGTAGATCTGGACACTCACAGAGTTATCTATGCATACCACTTTGGGGGCGTGGCATGTCCAAGATGTTCAACCTATCTCTCTCTCTCTCTCTCTCTCTCTATCTCTATCTCTGACCCCCTCTCGAATGTCAGTCACACGCACACCCAACATTCCACCCAAAAACACTCAGACCCCAATCCCCACACCACATAAGCCCCGATTCAGTTTCGGATTCAGATACGAAGCCATTTGACCTAATGTGGCATTGAAAACGCAATTGAAATTTGCATTTCTGACAGGCCTCCTCCTGTCCCCCGAAAATCCATTTTCTCCCCCCCTCTCTTCCGAACACTTCAATCTGCAATTGGCAGTTTTTGGTAAATTAAATGTATTATTTAGAGCCAACCAATTAAAATTGTTTAAGTGTGTTTGTTTACGGAACGAAATCGTAGTCCAACCATTTGGCCGGAGAATAAATGCATAATTTCACGGACTGTATTTGTGTGTATCCGGGGACAGATGCAATTATTTGATGGCCTGATTGGCGATTTCTAATTTGATTTAATTTTTTAATTTGATTTGGAATCCCCTATCTCGTAACCGTAATTCCTAGCTCGTTTGGTACGAAAGTTATGCATTTGGATTTGAATTAGATTTGGATTTCTTCCTTTTGTCATTTGCTAGAACTATCATAAATTTAAACCGATTTAGTTTCCAAACATTATTTTCCAAGAGAAAACAAGTCAGACCCAAAAAACAAATACACAAAACAAAAAAAAAAAAAAAAAGAGCGTATGAAACGGTGATTTCTGAGGATTATGTAAAAATCGAAAGTGAGGTTATAAACTTTAAACAATAATGTCGACTGCAGACCCCAAGGGTAGCGTCTCTTATTAAACGACGGAGTGCCCCATCCTGGTTCACCCTCATACCATAATAGAACCAATTAGACACACACACGTATAGATGATATGTATGTAGGTGTGTTATGTCCTTGTGTTGCGTCATGTGATCTGTCCCCCACAAAACAGAGAACTCACACATATACAGTAACCCGAAAAACACACCACCAACCACTAGCCACCGAACCACTAACCACAGAACCACTTACCACAGAACCACTTGCCACCTACCACTTACCACTCAACCACTTACTCAACCACTTACACCCACACCATCCAGAGAAAGAGTTGATCTAGACTAGAGACCCCAAAACTTCGAGACTTAGGATCAAAATATAATAATTCCCAACCCATGTTTTGCGTTTGTGTGTTTTCGTTTGTTGCCAACCTTTGATTTTACTTTATGGTTTGTTTTTGATGAAGAAGGATTCACGACGAATAAATATATACTTCACATATAGTACAGCAGCCTTTGGAAAGTACAAAAACCGTTTAGGAAAGCCAACAAAGTTCTTAACCCCTGCCTAAATGAAACGATTTAGTTATCACTAATTAAGAGACCCCGTTTCGACTAACAATCCCCCCAAGATAAAGCTTGATTCGAGACCAGAACTCTAACAATATGTTAACTTAACCCCTAAAAACAGATTGCGATACAGAATCAAAGTGAACTCTACTTTGCTGATTGTTGTAACCGTGTTTTTTCGATTAATTACCAAAACCAAACAAAAAAAAAACCCAAATTAAATGTGTATAAAAGACAGACTTGATATTGAATGAACGTATCGTGTTATGTGCCTACCAAAAACCAAACAAAAATTAAAAACCAATTATGAAATACCTTAAATACCTATTATCGTTGTGATTTGATTGCATTGAAATTGAATCGTTGCTGAATCATGGTCTCGACAAAGTCTCGATTGTTCTTTACCGTTCGCAGGTTATCGCAGTGATATCCATACTATTCATAGTCCTGTCTACCATAGCCCTGACGTTGAACACCCTACCACAACTACAACACATTGACAACGGTACACCACAGGATAATCCGCAATTGGCAATGGTTGAGGCCGTGTGTATCACGTGGTTCACTCTAGAGTACATACTTAGGTTTAGCGCCTCGCCGGACAAGTGGAAGTTCTTTAAGGGCGGCCTTAACATAATCGATCTATTGGCAATACTCCCATACTTTGTTTCGTTATTTCTATTGGAAACGAATAAGAATGCAACGGACCAGTTCCAGGATGTGCGTCGGGTGGTGCAGGTCTTTCGCATCATGCGCATCCTGCGAATCCTTAAGCTGGCCCGTCACTCAACGGGCCTGCAGTCGTTAGGCTTTACGCTGCGTAACTCGTATAAGGAACTCGGTCTACTAATGCTGTTCCTGGCCATGGGCGTTCTCATATTTTCTTCGCTGGCATATTTTGCCGAAAAGGATGAAAAGGATACAAAATTCGTTTCAATACCGGAAACATTTTGGTGGGCGGGTATTACAATGACAACTGTTGGCTACGGGGACATCTATCCCACAACTGCACTGGGAAAGGTTATTGGTACTGTGTGTTGCATATGCGGTGTTCTGGTAATCGCTTTGCCTATTCCCATCATCGTTAACAATTTTGCTGAATTTTATAAGAATCAGATGCGCCGCGAAAAGGCCCTCAAGCGTCGCGAGGCACTCGATCGTGCCAAGCGCGAGGGCAGCATTGTCTCCTTCCATCATATCAATCTGAAAGATGCCTTCGCCAAGTCCATGGATCTCATCGATGTGATTGTCGACACAGGTAAGATCTAATTTGGTTCCCCAATCTATCTAAGAATGTGCCTTGCCTACGTATCTACTAAACTAGCCGACTCAAGGGATCTGCCAACGCGATCCCCCGCCTCATGCTATGCTTACTATCCACCCCTAATCGTAGTGACTACACAAAATAATATATCATATATTTACCTGATTTTATTTTCAACTTTTTAAAGCTATGAATTGCCAATTAAAATTTTTATTAAGGAAAATTTAGGGCCTTAGTTATTTGGTTTTATTACCTTTGAAACCAATTGACAAAGAGTATGAAATCAAATGTTAATCCCTATGAAATTAGATAACAAATAATTAAATTGTTATTAATTCTTAATGAATTATGATATGGTGGTAAATCTAAGCTTATTTTTTATATTTTTAAATTATATTGATTGCCCATCCTATATTTTCTGTGAACTTTCCCTATTAAACGCTTAAAATCCCTCCCTTTTAACTTTGCTTACTCTTGTGTAGTTTTGTGCGTTAGCTGTCTAAGTAATCGTTTTTATATTTTTATACTTTCGGCATGCAATTTTTTTCTTGGCTTTTTCTTAGTATCTGTTAAGATTGGTTAAACTTTTTATTCGGTAAAAAGCTGTATCTAAAATCCAGCCTAGAGGCGTGTAAATAGCAATTAGCAGAAACGGGACGAAAGTCCTGCGACTGCTGAGCCGTAAGATGATAGAAATTGTTGAACCTTTGATTATTCCGAGCTCAGACTTACGTTCGATTAATCAATTGTAAACTAGTTAAGCGATTTGAGTTACACTTAAGTTCTGTAGCTAAGACCCACCCCCTACAATACAGAAAAAAACACCGCCAGCGTCACACAATAATGGTCAATTAGGCAAATGCTTTTGTACTTAGCGCATTAAACGGGAAATTAGTGGGGTTTTCACTTGTACAAAGCACACACACCCCTGAACCCCCGGGAAAACCCCCCAATCGACACCTCTGCTGTATAAAAGCCCGCGCGCCTAGAAGTAGGCAATGGAATCGCACGGCCCTTTAAAGCCGGCAAAAGCCCCTTTAGCCCTAACCCCCTCTCAACCCTCCGACGTGTGTTTTATTTTAGGCAAGCAAACAAATGTCGTGCATCCGAAGGGTAAAAGACAAAGCACCCCCAATATAGGCAGGCAGACCCTCGATGTGCAAAGCGCCCCAGGTGACTACATTGCGTATACGTAGCCTAGCCCACTCTTTGCCTCCCAACAACAACAACAACTCGTATTATACTCTATTAAATGCCGTAGCCTTTGACAATCGCTTTTGAATAGCCCCTAGGCACACGGATACGAAACACAGATACACACACACACACTCACACGCGCCAACTACAGCCACACACTATTGTACTATATATACTATATACTGTATATCGAACTATATTTATTCGCACACTCTCTCTCTCTTTGGAGTTACCTCTTTTTCTCTTAGTGTATCTTGGTATATTTAATAAGTTATAGCAAAGATATAGCTTAGCTTAGGGAGAGAATCCACACGGCTTCAGCTTTATTCCAGCTTTTTCCAAGTGGAGGAAAAATAGTTGCAGCTGTCCTGGGAGTTGAGAAAATTAATCTCTTTAAATGACCAAACAAAATTATTATTGACATTATGTAAATAATATTTTACAATCGATTTTTAATTGAATTAAATGTGCTTATGTGATGACCTTATAGGTTACTCATGATATACAATTATTTACAATTAACGATGATGATGGTTGTATTATAGAATAATTATTATACAATTTCAAACAATTATAATGAACTTTTTGTATTAACATTTATATTTTAAACATTCATTTTACCTCTATAGAATTTCAAATACTTTGTAGTCACAAAAACACGTCATTTATATTAAACCAATGTAATACAATGTAGTAAATATCTAAAATTAATTCGTACACCATCAATATATAAGCCCCAACAAATCTCGCCCCGCACAGCTGCAATTCGAATCCAAAGTATATATAATACAAAAACCCCCAGAGTCGTCCTGTATATATAGCCAAGGATCTAGTGATTAGCTAGGCAATTGCTGTTGCAATTTGTTTCGTTGTTCGGTTTTAGTTTGCCTTCAGTTAAATTGAGTTTGCCTAATTGCTGACTTCAGTTGGACATTTGCCCAGAATTGTGAATTATGATGATGACATTTTGCTACTCATTGCTTGATTCTTGTTTTAATTCCGCCACAACCATAGCAAATTTGAATGCTCAATATAGAGTTACCATTTCGAACTTATTAAAAAAAGTCAAAAAGAAAAAAAAACAAACAAATTATTATAAATACAACAAACATTTTTTTAGAAAATTTTCAAGTGCTGATTACATACAATTATAAAAAAAAACACACACACATGAAACCATATGATGTATATGCTCATTCTCTTAGCCAAATGTAGTTGTAATTTAGCGAATCGAAATCGTTATGGGGCCTATATGCCTAGAAATACTAGTCTCCAAAATATCTACCTACAACGTGTTCTTTTCTCTGCTCTTCTTTTTCTACTTTCTGCTCACGACATTCTTTGAATTTTCAACCATTTCAAAACCAAAACATCTTACACACACACATATACGAATATTGAAAAATTGCAAAATAAAAAACAAACACTGAATAAAAATAAAAAAAACGTTAATTAAATTGAATGCGGCTGATTTTGACCTAGGCGAGAAAAACACGCTGATCGAGGCGCCGCCACCGCCCTCCTTTGGCACGCCCCGTCGTCGAGCACTTTCTGCGAGAATCCAGGAGCTGAACCGCAGTTTGCTGGAGGAGCGGGACGCCCAGCAGCAGAATAGCTCCAGCGACAACGAAGACAGCCGTTAGGAAAATGCCCAAGAGAACGCCCCAGAAATCACCCTCGAAATCGCTGGCAAACCGCTGCAACCACAGCAACAACAACCCGACCCAAACAAACAACCTACAACAATCTATACTAAGCGAAACTAGCTAAGAGAATGACAGGCGATTGTTATTATGTATATGTAAATTAGTCGAAAACAAATGCAATTTGTTACAAACACACCACCACACCAACACACACGTACATGAATCAATCACACACACTCCAGAGTCCTAGACTTAAGCGAAAGTACTTCCAAGGAAAACAAAAAAAAAGAATAACATTTGGTTAGCAGTTATCCCAAATGCGTAGGCTTGCTTTGAAGCTTCAAATCAATCAGAAATCAAATGAATTGTGTACTTCCATTTTTGATTTATTTTCCAATTGAATGTTGTGATTAAATGTAACTGCTTTTAGGCGCCCTCATACCCACACACACACACAAACACACACACACACACGAACACGAGACACTCAAGCTCATACAGACATGCTGTCACACACACACACACTCACACGCTGCTGCTAAATACCCGTATTTATGCATTGCGCATACGCCACGTTGTCATAGTTTTCTTTTTCTTAAGAGTTAGATGCAATAAAGTGGCAATTTTTATTATTTAGCATTTATTTTTTATTGCATTAAAATTAAATACAAATAAGAAAAACAATAATTACTTTACATTTATTAGTTCATATTTGTTATCTTTGTTTTACCTACCTTTTACCCACTTTATCTCTTTGTAAAGTGTGTAAGAGATAGATGCAAAAAAAAAACAACAAAAGGCGTATGCTTCATCGTACTATCGTATATTGAAAGTTTTGCTAATCTCCATCAGCACTTGAAAATAAATCTAAAAGAAATTCAAAGCCATAAACGAAATGAAGATCTGCTCAAATTTGCTGATGTTCTCCTCAGTTTTGTTGTAACTTATTTTCGATAACCGATTGCCTGGCCAGTTTATGCTATATCCATTTGGTTTCAACGCAAATATTCGTCTGCAAGCAAAACTTTCAAGTACCCAAATGAGATTTGCAGTAGTAGTGGGTGTGGCAGCATGTGTGTGAGCGAAATCTTCCAGGAACTACCATATTCCCCATGTAACCCCAATCCAAAATATGCTAACACAACACGCCATTCGAGAGCTGAACTCTGAAAATACAATCCGCGTAAGCACAATTTTGATTTAGTCTAAATCTTAGCAATTAACTAGGCCTAACCTCTATGTAAACTCCAAGAAGGCATTTATCGAGCGCACTAGTCAAAAGAATTCCCTCCATGGACATGAAAGCACTTCAAGTGGTCGCCATGAGGTAAACCAAATCGAAATCGAAGATGTATCGAGATCGAAATCGAAAATAATACCCAAAAAGAGATGTGAAAAACCAGAAAACAAAACGAACAACAACAGAGCAAGCCTTATTTATGAAATTAGTTGTTGTAGCTGTGAGAGGGTAAGCTTAGTTTTTAATTTAGAGAGCGCATCAGCGATATAGCGTGCATTAGGTATACCAATGAAATATACTCGTTCCAAATGTAGAAACAAGAGAACTTAGCAAAAACGATGGCGATACGTTCCTAAAAACGCATAAAGCACAACGGAAAACGGAAAAACAAAAGAAATTGCCTTATTTAAAGCGAATTGCTCCTAGTTTGCAGCCATATATAAATACTTTAAGATAGAACAGCTGAAGTTTTGTTAAATTGTAAGCCCAACAAGTTATATCGATATTAATAAGCGAGCTGAGCGGTTCAAACAAACTAAATTATATACAAATTATATACAGATTTTGAAATCCTTTTTTGTGTGTGATATTTGAACGATTACCTATGATTTGCCTTGAGTTTCCACATAGTTCAAACATTTCTATCATTGCGCTCAAAGAAGCTAGAGTCCTGAAAAAATGAAAAATAAACAACCGGACTGACATTCCAAAAAGCCTTTTCGTGCCTTTTACTTGATATTCTTTTCCATTTCCTCCTGTTTTCCTTACTTGTAACCTACTTATATATGTGTGTGTGTCTTCGACTTTTCGTTTCCACATTATTAACGCTTCCGTTCCAAAATTAATTCCTATCTAACGCGCTGCATGCTCTAATCCTATGAACTAATCTATAGAAACTGTGTACGCTCTCTTTATGCTCAAGCCATGTATGATCGAACAAGAACATATAGTGAATATGAATACTCACTCGTACTCGTGCTCGTACTCGTACTCGTACTCGTACTCGTAATAACCCAATGAATAACTGTGTACTGTACTCGTACTTTTGTGTACTACTGTTAAAGCCGTAAACAACTTTGTGTGTCTGTGAAATTAGCAATAAAACCAAAACCCAACTGCGCTGTATTATTTCATTGTGCCAGCTAATCCAAACATATCGATATCCATATACCTATATATTTGGTGTTTAAAGCTTGACCAGATTTTGAGTTCAAGCCTTGAATGCAGGAAAGGCCAGAGTAAGGGGTATATTTAACTCACAACTCATTCTGACTCATCATGAGAAGTTTTTCTATTCCATTTCACTCATTAACAAATGTTTCTGTTTCGGGATAACGATACAAGATCACACACCTGAACGTGAATGGCGTAAATGACCATGAACCGATTTTGTCTATCTGAGAATAATTACTAAGTGAAGAATGTTTCGCACATTTGTTTTGCCGCGTCCAATTAAAGCACTTGACATTTCAAACACCCACAAAAATCACTTAATTATTACAAATATTTTTCAGACAGTTGTTATACATTTCTCAATATTTTTACTTGAAAATTGAAAATAAATAGCACTATGAATTAAATTTGGTATACAGCTATATTTTAAACAAATATTTCAACTGAGAAATATTCTTGATAACGATCCATTACATATTTTCAAAGAGGCATTTCTCTTTAACTTATTTCCAATACTTTTATATACTTTTAAAAAGGAATATATTTGTAAATAAATCCCGACTTAATATTTCTCACAGGTCTTCTTTTCTAATTTCCATTAAATACTTTATATTTCTGTAAAACTTACCTTAACTACATTTCATAAGAAAAATATTGGTTATTATTGAAATTAAAGATGCATTAACTACCAAACTAAATTATGTTTCCGCAGGACTACCTCTTCCGTTTCCGTTTCCATTTAATACCAACTTAGTTCAATAGAAATGTTACCATTAGTTTATCATGACTACTAACTCTATAACTGTATACAATGCTAATCATTAAATCAAACTATAAATTAGAGTTCTACTAGTTTGTACCAGCCATTAGCATCACCAGTTAACTAAATGTTGTTCTAATCCATTTAATCACACTCAAGAGTAAGCCTAAATTTAACCCAGAACTATAGACGTCGTTCTTCAATGTTGTTCTCACTGTATTCCCACTAAACTAAACTTAACTTAGCCCCAAAGTTTTTGTGGTCGCCGTCGTCATCGTCGTCGTAACAATAATTAACCAAAACTATAGCGAAATATAAAAACCATTCATGGAACTCATTCTTCTTTCTTTTTTCCCCTCTTTTGATTTGAAACGAAAAAAAAAACAAACCAAAAATAAAACACCTTCATTTGCGCTCCGAACAAACCTCAAACAAATCCAAAATGCGCTCTAACTCATTAAAAACTATATATACGAAATATATAACCCTGTGTATATATACCACCAATGGCGTCTGTCGGCTAAACAAATGCGAAACGAAACTGGCGACAAAATGCATTCATGGCTTCTTTGCGCGAACCCCCGAAAAAAAAAACAAATCAAATTGATCGTGAACTTGAACATATAACCCGATAACCCGAAAACACCCACCTACACTGAAACACACACCACCAACACACCAACACACCAAGCAGAAAAGCGCGAGAGTCACACACGATCACTCAAAAATTGGCACCGTTTAACCCACGCGCTCCGCCGATCGCCCACAGGCCACAATCTCTCGCAAACGGACGGGAACAGCACCGAGGGCGAGTCCACCAGCGGACGCAATCCGGCCACCACCGGAACCGGCTGCTACAAGAACTACGACCACGTAGCCAACCTGCGCAACTCCAACCTGCACAACGTAAGTCCTGATGGATAGGATTGGGATAAGTCCTGATGTCGCCTGGACATATCAGTATAGAGAATCCATTATATACGAATCACTAGAGAATTCAAAAGTTCAGGGTACGGTTTTATTATAAGCTTGGAATATTCTACATATTACATTTTGACGTTTTAGAAAGAGTATTCCCTTTATTCACTATCATATCCTGATAGATAGGATTGGGATAAGTCCTGATGTCGCCTGGACATATCAGTATAGAGAATCCATTATATACGAATCACTAGAGAATTCAAACGTTCAAGCTGGGGATATTCTACATATTACATTTTGACGTTTTAAAATGAGTATTCCCTTTAGGGTCATATCCTGATAGATAGGATTGGGATATGCCCTGATGTTGCCTGGATATATCATTATAGGGAATTCATTATATACGAATCACCAAAGCTAAAGTTGTATTTAAGCTGGGGATATTCTACATATTACATTTTAAAGTATTTCAATGATAGTATGGATTTTATCAACCTCATTATTTATAATACTAAATTTATGAATTAAAGATAAGCTTGGTAGTTCTTGAATCCGTACAAGATTGGTTATGGGCTCCTTTGTTAATTGTGGTGATATAATCATATAAACCCATAAAAGCATTAATCTTCTCTTCGTAATACAACTGCATTGATTCAAATAACAATTGGTTTCCCATTCCGTAAATTGCAATCGTGAGTTGTAAGTACGCCACGCCCAAAAGCGCCATAAAAGTAGATGGAATATGTGTGTAATAGAAATCCTATCTGGAAATTATACTAACCCTCTTCCCTTTCATTTGCCCAGCGCCGCGGCTCCAGTTCTGAGCAGGATGCAGTGCCGCCGTACAGCTTCGACAATCCCAATGCCCGCCAGACCTCGATGATGGCCATGGAGAGCTATCGCCGCGAGCAGCAGGCATTGCTGCTGCAGCAGCAACAGCAACAGCAACAGCAGCAGCAGCAACAGATGTTGCAGATGCAACAGATGCAGCAGAAGGCCCCCAACGGAGGTGGAACCGGATCGGGAGTGGCCAACAACCTGGCCATGGTGGCCGCCTCCAGTGCGGCGACTGCCGTGGCCACCGCCAGCTCCAGCAATACCGCCCAGGGGTCAGAGGGCGGCGCCGAGGGAGGCGGTGGCGAGGGGGGCGGGGCCGATGAGGACAACCTGTCCCAGGCGAAGGGACTGCCCATCCAGATGATGATCACGCCCGGGGTAAGTCTGCGAATTAAGGGGAGATACCTACTCATTGCCATACTCGCAATCGTATTTCTTGAATATCTTAATGTTTTCAAAGTTCCTAAATCGTAATCCTATGTATTAGTAAATGTGAAGCCGTTAAAAACTGGATCGAAATATATTCAAATAATTCTAATTATATCCCAATTATTACTCACGTTTGGTTCCTTCTCATTTGCCAAGTGTTAGTCGGGTAAATTTGTTTTGAGTTTTCAGTTCTTATATACCACATATGTATACCCTTGGTGTCCTTCAGTTGAGTATTCTTGAGTTCCCCACATTGGCGGCCTCTTTTCGTAGTTTTAAGTATCCCTAGTCAGCTTCATGTTCTCTCTTGAGTTTATTCAAACAAATTCCAACCACCACAAAAAAATTACCCAGAAAAAATAACAATTAAAGAATAAAAACTTAAGACCTTAAGGCTTGAGAACAAAACCAAGTTCTTTAACAACATTCACACATTTCAACTTTTAGATTTTACGGGGACGCAGTAAGGAGGTACATTCAAAGTATACACAAAGAACTCAACCTACTCTAATACTCTACTCTACTCAACTCGAATGCATTTGTGCCACAGCTAAATATCTTTAATATGTATTCGATTTTGCCAACTGATTTATTTTGAATGGATTTGCGGATTGATTGTCTTCTTTTCAGTGGCTGAACCAATGCTACACATATTTTATTTTTTCGGGCGAACGTGTAGTTGCATTTGCGGATTTGTAACATCTACATGAATGCCTATCTGTTCGACTGCCCAATGAAAAATGCATAGAACCGATAATTTTTAAACCAGTTATTTTTAAACATTTTCCAATTCTTCGATTTTTATATATATTGCTTTCGGTATTAGTTGGTTTGTTAAAGGTGCTGGTTTACTTAACGAATGGCCACGAATGGATTTCATTTCTATATTCCATATTGAAAGTGTCTATGTCAGTCAAATTTAATATTTGATAAGAAAAAATATTACAAAAATTTGAATTATTTCCGCCGCCTTGGAAAAAGCGTAAAAGGATTTTGTTTTAAACTTTAAATAGTTTTAGACCTAATAATTGTGATTCCGCCTTTTAACATTTTCTCAGTCTGTAAGCTAATACTTTTGCTCTGCTAACTTCATAATTGCTTTCTTTCTAATCAAAAATAATATACATCGGCGAAAATGTCTTTTAATTTTGTACATTTTACAAATTTGATAATGAAAAAGTTTTTTTCCTTAAAACATTAACTCACATTTCTTCACAAACAAATACACAGTTTTACACCTGCTAATAAAAGAGTTTTGGAACATATTTTGGGTCTTACTAAGGTATATCGGGTAATATCATAATCATAACCATTTATTCTTGGGCACAGAGTATTCTATTTATTCTAAAAAAATGGAGTAGGAGTTAATTGAGCTGATCCAATAATATACAATCATATGTTATAAAATAAAAAATTTTAGTATAAATTCTTATGTAGAAATCTAGGAAACTAGGTGGTTTACCCAGGAAAAAGCAAACAAATATTTAAAGGAAATATATGATTTTATGGAAAGAGATAATGTGCAAAGAAAACTTGTACAATATATAGAAATAAATAAATACTTAAGCACAGATGTGAATATTAAACAGCAGCTAGGTGAACTCCATGTTGGCATAGGGATTCGCATTCGCCCTCGGCAGGCTGATGAAATCACTGGGACCGGCTCCTCCACCGGTGGGGAAGGCAGGCCCCTGACCTTGACCCTGCCCCTGACCTTGGCCCTGTCCCTGACCTTGACCCTGCCCCTGACCCTGTGCCTGCCCCATCTGCTGCTGCTGCATCAGCAACTGATGCTGATGGGCTGTGGTGCCAGGAAGACTGGGAGCAATGGCAGGAACTGCCGTGGGGCGATCATATTGCTGCAGTGGTTGCTTCAACTTCTCCAGCAGAGCGTGCAGATCCACCGTGAGCTTCGGCTGGACAATGCCCTCGGCCGCCTGGAGACCCACCATTTGCGAGGACAGCGCGTCCACATCCTGGCGAGCGGCGAACAGCAGCTGATCGTGGGCGGCCAACTGCAGCTGGGCGATCTGCGCCCGGATCGCCGAGGCGGCCACTTCCTGCTGAGCGGTGTGCAGGGAGGCGGTGATGCTGCGCACATGGTTGGCCGACTCCTCCAGCTGCGCCTGTGCCGACGAAGCCACCGACTGCGCCTTCCGGATCTCGGTGGCCTCCAGCTGCACCCTCGCCTGGGCCACGTACAAGTGCTGGACGAGATTGCGCAGCTCCTGGCGCCGCTGCTCGGTCTCGTCCTGTTCTGCATAGGCATTGGGCGATGCCTGGGGCATCCTGCTCAAAGGACATCCCTGCTGCTGCTGCTGCTGCTGCTGCGGCTGCAACTCCATCTGCTGCGTTTGCCAGTTGGGTTGGTAGAAGTCACAAATGGCGGATCCTGGGGCGGCGGGGGAGAGGCTCTGACCAGCGGGACTGGGGACCATTTGGCAGGTGTTCATTACATTTGGATCCGCAGCCTGAGTGCCCGTGCCGACAGCTGTGGGAACTAAGATTTCAGGGATTCAAAAAAGCTAAATTAAATCTTAAAATATAAATTATGAGGAAATACATAGGTATTCCAAACCTTAGCCCCCGAACTATATACAGTAGAATCCGGTTATAAAGACTCTGCTTATGGTATCCGTCCGGTTACTGCGACGAAAACTCGATGGCTTGGTTGGTCTCCATACAAACTTTTATGATATAAACCTATATGGTTATTGCGTCTTCCGGGTATAACTACGTAAAATCGTCGGTCCCTTGAAAGTCGCTATAACCGAATTCTACTGTATTACATAATTCACCCACCTATAGGATCAGCTTCCAGCAGTCCTCCAGAATTAGATCGCTCCCTTCTCCGATCCGCATTTGCATTCGCCTCGTAATTACCGCCCACTGAAGAAACAATCTTTTCGCGATGTTTCATATTGCTTGGCTGTCCTCCTATGCCGATTGCGCAGATAATTATAGACAGTTGAACTGCTGGCACAAGTTATTAATTATCTATAATATTCCCTAATAGATTTGAGCTTACCGATCCAATGGAGATTGCTTAGGCGCATTTAGAGCACATTTAGACCAGTTGAAGACGGGTTCTGCGGCAGCAACCATTGAGCTGGATAATAGCTTCTCGGCAGTATCTCTTTCATTAGTTTAATATGGTTTTCAGTCGAAATAAATCGAGAGAAATATGAAATTTAAGCGTTGACTTGCTGGGTTTGAATTTGCTAAAGGGTCCTTACAAATATATTTATTGATGATATAATAATAATGATGGAAAAACCATATTTTAGCTATACAGAACCCGCTTGATATTAAAATATTATAAAAGCTTAGTTATATTTTCTGCGATTAAAAAAAAATATATGTTTCAGATTTTCTGATTGTTTTGAATCGATTAAATTTGTAGTGTCAATCTAGCTTTAAAAGCACATATGTAGGTGCTCTTAGTGTTATCTGCTTGTCTCCTAGAATAAATGAGGTGGTAGGACTTCAGTTTTCGCTCAGTGTGCTAGAAATGGGTCATATTTACAGGCTCAAAATCACCACCACCAACGAACCACATGCAGGCAACAAACACCAACACCCTCACACAGCTTGAGCCGCATGCCAACAGGATTATTATACCATTTTTCTTGCTAATCTTATGCCAAACAAAAGTCCTAATATATAATATCGAGAGTTACTCAGCATGTTCGGCATGACCTGCATCCGGTGATCTTACTGTACATAAGCCTAGATATATATTCCGATTCCTAACTATCGATGCCAACGAAACACTCACGTGATGCCACCATCCCAACACCCAACTATTTATAGGAAGTGGCCGAGCTGCGCCGCCAGGTGGCGCTGGAGAACCTGCAGAACCAGCGGATGGACAACCTGGAGCAGGACGTGCCCGTGGAATTCGAGTGCTGTTTCTGCACAACCAAGGTAACCTTGGGATAGGATTGCCTATGATCCAATCCCATCCCCGTAGCTGTGTGCCCACCTCGATGTTCCCCGTTTGCAATGTTCGAGCCGCTTTTCCGTGTAATGTGCTCTAGTTTAGTCGCATGCCTGCACCCCGATTATCCTTATCATTGCTCTTTCGTTCCGTTTCCGACTAATCTCAACTAAACCGAACTTAGATCATGCTAAACCTGTACATAGCGCCGCATAACCGCCATTGGCAGACTGTGAAATTGTTAACCCCAGCATATTGAACTCCGATCCAGACGAGACTTTTGATCCTGGGATGGGGTGTCACAGAAATCTATTTTAAAAGGATTTTTAAAATATTTTTTTAAAATTTGTTTTATTTGTGTTAGAAAAATTTTTATATTTTTCAATAAGAGTAGTATTATATTTATACCCTTGCAGAGGGTATTATAATTTCAGATGATTTTGTTTTATCATTTATTATTAATTTAGATATTTATATTTATTATTTAAAAAACTATACATTATCAAACCTTAGTGAAAATGATCTATAAAATCTTTTATTGAACTTTAAAGTTATCTGGGGAAATTCTTGATAGATTTCTGTGACTCTTCCACTTATAAATTAGTAGAGACTTGAGCTTCTCGCATAGGTCCTCCCAAATAAATAGGCGACCCGTACTCGACCCGAAGTAGTTGGATTGGTAAAACAGCGATAATGATACCAATACCGATACCAAAACGAACGTTGTTGCAGGATCGCATTTGTGTTTTCCACGATAAGGAGTATAGCATCAAGCGGCTGGCCCGACCGCCGCCCTCGCCCAAGAACTATATGGCCCTCAAGCGGATGCTCGAGGAGGGCACCATCGACATATACTACCTATGATCTATGAACTATGAACTATGATCTATAATCTATGATCTATGATCCATGATATATGGTACAACCTATCCGAGATGGTAACACCACCCAGCAAAACCACGTGTTGTCCCACTTTTCAGATCGTTTCGTTTCACTTTTGATTTGTTTTCATTTTGATTTTGGCTTCCTGTGCGATTGGAATTGGATGGAAATGAAAATTTTATGTTTTGACCTTGTTTCTTTTTCGTTTCTTTTCTTAAAGGGTTTGCCGGGATGTCATGGCGAGTGTATTCCATTGCGCGCGAATAGCGTTTAGCCAGATTCGAATTTCGATTCGATTTGACTCGATTCGATTCGATTTGACTCCCCGACGAGTTCGCTATATAGAAAAATCGGAAATACTTAGTGAGCCGGGACGCATCGAATGCGTGAACGGAACAGCGAATTACGATTAGACGTTAACTAGCTTTAAACTACCAACAAATTACTACTTAATGTTATTATTACTACTACGATTATTATTATACTGTTATCAACGGGCCTGGCGTGACGTGACGTGAAAGCTAAACAAAGACATAGCGAATTCTAAGAATTTAATTAAATTAACTAAAGCCTAATCTACCATCTAAAACGCAACCAGGAGAGGAGAGCAAAGCAAAGCAGCATGTGTTATTATTTAATTTAATTTAATTTAATTTAAAATGTGTACCAAGTGACCGGAGCTTGAGGGCTTGACGAAAGTTTAAATCGATTCATTTTATTTACACTAAGCACGTAATTACAATTAGCCTAATACCTATTTATATCCTAGCAAAATGGCCTAAGCCTTAATTATAGTAGCTGCAACTTGCAAAACGAAAAAAACCAGAAAACCAGCAAAAACAACGAAAATAACTATGAAATACGAAAAAGCAAAAATACAATTGTTTAGTTACTTGAACAACCAATGTTAACGCTCTCTTCATTATTAGTTTTTTATTTCCTGTTATCACTCAACCAAATCAAAACAAAGAAAACCACAAACCGAATGAACAAATTCTGCAAATAAAAATACAAAACAAACAAACGAATCTATTTTTGTTGTTCAACTTTACCTATTCGCACTCGAGTTTTTGGCACTCCACTTCTTCTACTGATTGTTTCCGTATTGCTCGCCTAGAATTTTTCATTTTTGGTATCGGTTTTAAATTCGATTAGAGTACTTAACTATATTAAACGTTCGAGTTATGGAACCACTTCAAAGGCAACTCCTAGCGGTTTGGTAAGTAAGACGTTCCTGCGTCTGAATATCGAAACAAAATTTTCTTGCGTTTGCTCAACTTGGGGATCTATCAGATCTGTATCTTACACATATCAGAGAATTGCAGGAAAATAATACAAAATTCGAATTGATAATTCCCAAGTTTATTCCGATTAATCATTTTTTTTAAAAGAAGAACCACTCCCTAAAAAGTTTTTAAGCAATTTTATATTTTAAGAAATTAAAACCAAAAAAATATTAACTGGTATTTTATTCCTGACTATATTTCTCAAAATCAGTTTTCTTGCTTACCTTAAAAACTATATTCCATTTGAATAAGATATTTTATTACAAGTATTATTATCTTAAGAATTATAAACACATTTTCCAATGCCTCAAATAACAAGTTGAGAACTCGCACTGCCTTTGTATTAATTTATTAAATATGGATAAATGTCAACAATAAATAGAGCTGCACGTTTGAGTTTTACTTGGCGCCTCCTAGTTGCATGTTAATTTTTGTTATTCAAGCGAAATATTAAAGAAACAAATCGCACACAAATACAAAGCTAACTCCAGACAACAGGTACACCAACCTAAATCAGACACTAACAAGCAGCCAGATAACATTCCGCTCAACACTCAACAAATATTTGAAATAATGGTCACTATGATCATATTTCATGTACAGATACATCCGATATGGTAGAGGTTTATTTTTATGAGCTAACAAAATATTTCCAAAATATATATGACAGTTTAAGATTTAAATTAAATTTATGTTAAGCTGAAATCAGGCACAAATTATTAGATTTTTAATATGAATAAATAACATTGTATTTTATTAAGGACAAAAATCTTATTGTGAACATTTATTAAATATATACCCCTACCATATCGGCACTATCATTGGCCTTATGTTGTAACCCTAACCGACTGTATCTGAAACTTATATCCCGAACCCGAAACCCCGACTCGTTGCAGGACTTCAAGGAGTTCACGGATGCGGAGGGCGTGATCTCGCTGCCCACCTCCGATTTCCACAAGCCGATCTGTCTGGAGATGCGACTGGCGGCGGCGAGTCGTCAGGCGGGAGCCTTTGGTCTGCTGTCGCCGCTGCCGCTGCCCCCCGCCCCCGCTGCCCCACCATGGTCCGCTCCTGGCCCTGCCCCCGCCACCCCCACTGCCCCCCTCGTCCTGCGCCGCCGTCCTCTTGCCCGCCATCTCGCAATCTTCGTCCACATCCTCCTCGTACGGCACCACCACCTCCACCACCATCGCCCTGCCCCTGGATGTGTCCCTGCGGTATGGGGCAACCATCTGCAGTTCGTCCAACTTCAACCACAACTACAACAACAACTTCAACACCACCACTGTGGGTGGGGCAAATGGATCGCTGCTGTTTGGGGGTAACTACAATGGGAGCAACAACAACAATGCGGATCTGGCCAGTGTGGATAGTTCGGACACCTATGCCAGCTGTCAGACGCATCCGTTCCTCTCCCAAGGAGACCTCACGGCGGACTTCAATGACGAGGCCTGTGCTTTGGACATCGACATGGATAACCTGTACATAAATCCCCTGGAAAGGGAGCAGCATCAGGGGATCAGCAGCTCCACGGGCTTCATTGTGGGCCTGCCAAGTACCCAGTCGTCGGGCGGTGGACTACGTGCCCAGGTGAAGAAGAGCGCCTCGGGCGACACGGCCCTGAGGAACTTGGCCTCCGGCGGCGGAGCATCCGGCGGCCTGAGTCCCCTGGACGATGTCTACCAGAGCTTCGATGTCCAGGAGCTGGGCAGCAGGGTCAGCTTGAACGAGAACTCAGTGCCAAAGCATCGGAAGACGCGGTTCCAGCAGAGCTTCACCGCCATTCGACCAAGTGGAGGTGGTGTCACCGGAGGCGGAGTCCTCGCGGGCATCCGGCCACGCGCCCGATTTGAGGACACCAAGCTGGACGACGAGACGGGGGCGCGGGCACCGGACGGATCCGGCAGCCCGGCGGCCAGCGGATTCGGCGGCCAGGGACCCAAGAAGAAGCGCTCGGTCTTCATGCCGGGCAAGAGCCTAGCCACTGCCACCAAACTGATCAACCAGCATTTGTTTGGCATACAGAATGTGGGCGCCAAAGGTCAGTACATGGATTCAAAGTTAAGAGTCTTATAAAAAATATATAAAAAAATTATTCGACAAGGAATATTAAATCTTAATCAAAAGGGTTTACTTACCTGTTAAGTTTTGCAATAAATTTACCATTTTTTATTTTATAAAAAAAAAAAAAAAAAAAACCTAATCAACCCCTTACTAAATCCCCTTTGATTTATAGCCAAGTTCGAGAGCAAGCATTCCTCTTCGATAGACTCGATTGACGCCTCGCCCAACCTGGAGCATCACCGGCGCTCCAAGTCGATCCTGAAAAACAAGTCTGATATCTCGCGCGTCCTGTCCGATCCGGAGAGCGAGCGACTCCTGGCGGACAACATGTCCGGCTCCGGTGTCTCCGACAACGGCACCGTAATGGTTCGCTAGCCTTCTTAAACATATTCCAGTATCGTGTATTAACTATGGATTTTACAGGGCGAATCCGGCAGCGATTACTCACCGAATAAATTACCTCATTCAGTTTTAGCTAAGTCTATATCCCCACCACCCCTCAGGCACCGCACCCTAATGCACCAGCGCTCAGGACCAGCGACCTTGCAATCGAAGCCCACGAAGTTCCAGACGCCCCGTTATCCCGAGGAGCAGGCGTTGCGCCAGGTGAAGCCGCTCCTCTCGCGCGCTCCCCCTTCCACATCCGCATCCGCATCGGCGGCATCCGCGGATGGTCAGCAAACCAGGGACAGCAGTCTGGGTAGGTGGTGGCCAAGCTCGGCACCAGCTGGCAGTGATGGCTACTAACTTCAGAACTAGGTTTAGCGATTATTCCTAAAACAAATTTCAAACATAATAAGTATGTTTAGTAGGGATTAATCCTTTAAAAAAATAGAAGAACTTATCATATCATGCTAATTAATAGCTAGTATATCTTAAGCCCTATATTCGTTTTTAATCTAAGATTATTTTCTTTAATTTTTAGTCCTATCATTTGTTTTACTTTGCCAAAAGCAATACCTTTCCTTATATGGAAATACAAATGTGGGAGTTAGTGATGCTTTTCAGTAGTAAATTTTTATTTTTTGTTAGAGATCTACATTATAGTTTAGGTCATTAGATAGGTGCATTATGACTAAAACATACATATGAGGGCGGAATTATCAATTAGGACTTGTGGGAATAGTTAAGTAATCGAATATATTTTATCCAGAACCAAAAATATATAAAAATTGGGTATACTTTCCATCACTGCCAGCTCGCTCCTACTCCTTGCTTCTCTCTCTCTCCCTCTATCTCTGTCTCATCCTGTAAGTGCGTCCTGGGGTTTCTTTCGGCCATGACGAAACCAGAAATCATCTACAACCGTTCTTTTATCTCTCCCGTTTCCCCCCGCTTGCTGGCTGGCCGTCAGTCACCGTGTTCGATGCCGCCTTCTGAACCCCGAACTCCACCCTACTACATCGCCATCGCATCCACATCCGCATGACCCCATGAACCCTCAGATACAGACACTGACACACTGACACCCCACGGAGAAAGGCCACCGCCAGGCGGGCGATCTGTTAGTATTACCGATCCGATCTATAGTGCTTACCCTCGGCACCCCACTCACCCCCGTTCGAAAGTCCAGAGTTCGCTTAGCACCCAGCTGGGATCCTATCATCCGAGCTTCAGATCGATGTTTGCAGCTTTAGAAGTTGAGATCACCCACCCATCACTCATTCACCTTACACAGAATCACCCACATGCCGCTTTCTGTTTAGCACTTCGATAATGACTTACCCATTTTATGTAGAGACGAAATATTTAAGGTATTTTTATTAGTTCGATGCTTAGTGACTCCTTGCTTAAAATAGAAAGCAAAGCCACAAGTAGTCAAAGTTAATACCCTAGTATTTGCTTCAAACATCTGGAGATCTAATATTTTAGGGTCTATTAGTCTTTTCCACACTCATTTCCAAAACATTTATATTCATAATTTAAAAAAACAAACATATAAATCGTTTCTCCTATATGATAAACGCATATAAAACAAAACAAGTTCTTTCAAATTACGTTTCATATATGATTTTCAATATTAAAACGGTTGTATCTTATTACTTCTAAAAAGTGAGTTGGCCTAACCATAAATATATAATGCATTTTTAATTATAAATGATAAATATTTCAAGAAACAAAGCTTAGAAAAATCATTTAAGATACAATTAGTGTACCTCCTCGCATAAAATGGGTTATGTATCGTTCACCTATCCTGTGTAATCGGTTGTGATGATATACCTATAAAGCCATGACAATAATCACCTCCCCTCTTGCCTCACAGACTCGGAGACGACCTTCACATCGCCCGTGAGCAGTCGAGCTGGAGAGGATCAACCCACTGCCGGACAAGTCCCCAGCCAAGTGCCAGTGGCTCCTGGCCAGGAGGATCGCGACGAGGAGGGGGAGGCGGAGGCCAACGACGAGCAGAGGGCCCTGCTCCAAGGAGCCGACGCCGAGGAGGCGAAGAGGGCGGGGAACGAGGGCACGTAGCAATTAGGGACCCACACACAAACCAACACCCCCAGAAAAATGTAAAAAACAAAACTTATTCCAAGGGAAACCCACACATACACAACACACCCACACACACAACACACCCACACACACAACATACAAAAGGGAAAACTCAAAGTGATAGCAAAGTTAGCAAACATGGAATGTGAATTATACAAAAGCAATGAACAGTATCCTAGTCTAGAGATGGTGAATGGAGATGGTCCCTGGCAGATCCCCGGAATTCGATCTGCGTATTTTTACAAAACGAAAAAAAAGGAAGTGCAACCCGAACGGAGCCGCGCAAGTCGTACAAACAGCAAACAGCTACAGCTACATAAGAAATTATAATCTTATAATACTAAACGAAATGCTACAGTGTAAATAGCAGAGCCCAATCCACTCGTGTACAGAGCAATACCTTATTTACCGCCTTCAGGACACAGCTAAACAGAAAAAGTATATAGACGAAATCACCAGAAAAGCCTAAATAGCAACAAATGAAACGGAAATATTCATATTTTGAATGCAACTTATAAGTATATACAATATTATAGAGTATACACGCATCGCAATTGCAACTCGCATATTTACACACTATATATATATACAAACTAAACGATATATAGCTCGAACTATTTTTCAAAAACCACGCGCTAAACCCCGCAGATCGGAGGCTTGAGGAAGTTATAGGCGAGGAGGGGACATACATATGTACGACAGCCCCAGTAAATTAGATCCGCATTGCATATATCTGTATGTAAATCGTTCGTTCGCGTATCGTTCAAATTCATAATGTCAAAAAAACGTAGTTGAAAATCGTTGGGCAACCAGTTCGTTTCTATATCTATAAGTATATGTGCGTGTGTGTAGGGCTTAGGGCTTATCGATAGAGCTTGGCTTGGCTTCAAATCCCCCGATATAATCTGATTTGCCACAGGAGATTGGGTAAATGCAATATTGCTTGGATGTAGATGTTGTTATTTATTATGGGGTATGGGAAAATGCCATTCGAGAGTGTCTTGTGAGAGGGGCTAATCAAATCTCTGGAGATTTCAAATATTTCCTTAGATTTCTGTGGCACATCTACTGAAGTTCTCGCGATGGTATTGATCCCACCCATATACATTGTTAGTTAGTTATGGAGCGTGTATGTGTTACGTATGTTAGTTAGTTGAGTTAGTTAGTTCTACCCTAGGCAATCGATGTTTAGTTCCCTAGTCCTCCGTTCTCCGAATACGTAAGCAATAAAATTGAATATCTTCGAGAATGAAGAGCGTGTTTAGTCAATTATTGCAACCCGAGTTGTTAGTCCCCACATTCCATTCTGTGTATGCGTGCGAGAGTGTTTTGGTTTTGGTGTATTAGTATACCAACTTGGCAGGTTTCCATATCCTCCATGGGTTATCCCGATCGATCTGTCCAACAACTGGCTTGGGTTTGTCCTGTTTAGTTGCCTCTGCGATGAGCCAGGATGCGAGTTAGCCTCTTAGAAACATATCAGTAAAGGGAATACGAACTCACTCACTCACACACACACCCAACACCTCTCACAGATACACACATCCACACACACACCCACACACACTGTAAAGAAAGATACACAAATTTTATTACGAGACGATAATAAAATGTCTCATCGTCCGCTTTTCGAATTGATAAGAACACAAGCATTAACACAAAAACAGAACTAAACCAATCAAAAAACGACAGCAAAAAACACTATTCGATAACTAATGTTAAAGCCAAGAACTCGAAGTAATATAGTTAAACATTTTTAGAATATGTGTACGTATTAACAAATGCTTGAGGCATCCAAAAATTTTGTAAGCAATTCATTTAGGATTATCTACACGGTTTTTTGGTGAGCACCGGCCACATTCCGCCACTCCATATTCTTAATTGTAACTTTTGTAAATACTTATTTCATATACAAGCCCCTTGAAAAGCAGTTTCAGTTCTATTATTTTTCGAAACTCATTTATGCCAGCAGCAAACGAATTGAACTTGAAATAAAACTAACGAGATATATTAAGTAAATGACGAGCAGAGCAAATACACGACTTAAGTGCAACACGTGCAAACGCAAGATGTTATTAATATTTAAATTATTTACCTAACGATACATACATTTTAATGTAGTCTGACGACGACGACGATTGTAAATCAGCTAAATTGAATACCGGAAATCGTTGGCAAGCATACAAATTTATTAAAGCGTATTTAAATCTATATGAGCGAAAAGTCATGAAAATATATAAATCATTGAGTAACATTTAAGCGTGGATCTTTATTTATGAGGCTAAAAAAGGTAAGATAATAATGGAGATACATAAAAAGTATTTATTGACGTGAAATCTAAAAATTATGGTATTAAAGTCTTAAAGGTATTAAGATTTATATTAGAATTCGATGTATATCTATATATCCTAGGGCTGGCAGCGGTATTCGAAGTAGGCCTTATCGATGAGCATTTTCTGTTTGATTAAAATTAAATTATATTAAGAAATATTTATATTATTTAAAGCATTATCTTACATTTTCTTCAGAAAGAGGTGGGTCCAAATATGTATGCAATTGAAGAGGATTCTGTTGACTAGGATCTCTGATCGCTTTAATCCTTCTGAAGAGATTTGCAATGGAATCATGAGGTTGTTGTCCATGATTTATATAGTAACAGTATAGAAACTCCAGCTTCTTACAGTTCTGTATGATTTCTATAATCTCTTCTGGGGATATGTAGCTGAAGATACTCTCCACATATAAAGATCGAAGTTCAGTTAAATTGGCCAAAGAGGCTAAACAATTGGGTCCACCAACATTCAGCGAGAGTTTAGTTAAAGAGCCGATCTGTGATATCAATTCGTAATCAGATCGAAGTTTGAGGCAGGTGCCCCGGATCCAGAGTTCATCCAAATGGGGAAAGCATTTCAGAATAGTTCCAACACAATTGGAACACTTGGCGAATCCAAAAAGTCGTAGTTCCTTCAAGTCAGGAATTAGTTGGAAAAAGTCCTCAAGGTAACAAATACAAGAAGGAATGTTTACACTTAAATAGTCACGAGCTGAAACATAATGGTATCTTTGTAAAGTTTTCTTTGTATTAACGACCCATTAGTTCTTACTAGAAGAAGAAAATCGCAGGAAATCCTCAAGTCTGGGAATTTTCCCCAGGCAATGCCGCAGATCGATTTTGTTTTTTGCTTTTGTGAGAATTCGAAAGTCGCGGACGACGTAGCCAAGATCCTCTCTATCACAAGCATGTCCTTGTGTCACACCCAGTGTTCTTACATTATTTCCCACGATTCTCATCAGTTTAACGGCCAACGTCGAGTAATATAACACTGGCTTATTGCCATTGGTATCGTTTCCATGGAATACTGGATAAGGCGCAGGCGGCCTGTCCATCAGAATCTCTCGAAACCTCGTGAAGGATTCCGCAAGATTTACGAGGTCCTTGATGCTTAGATACTTTAATATATGGTAAAGACAGTCGTCATTTAAATTCAAAATACTTTGGACACCCATTTTCTTGTTAAGGTCTTTCTAACTACACGGTAAGATTCGAACTGAGAAATATTGACAGCGAATGAGACCAATAAATAGGCACATAACTGATTAAGGGTTATTTGGTGTTATCACGATTGTACCAAAAATTCTATTGGCATAAGTGCTTATCTAGGGGTTCTTAATCCGATTCGCAAGAATTGTCTGTAAAAATAAATGTTCTTATCTCAAACATTTTATCGCAATTTTTTCAACTATACTTGGAGATATTAGCAAATGTTGGGCGATTTGCTTATCATGACTTTCTGGGGATTAGAATACGATAGCTGAAACTGCTGTGAAGAATTGATTGGATACCAAACAGGTACGAAAACCTTAAAATAAAAGAATTTGTATCTATTATTTATCTATTCTAACATCACCAAGTATCTTACATATTCATGTTTTATTACATAGTCTGTTTCACAACCTCTAGCGGTAAAAAGCCGAAAAGATTTTTTACTTTTCCAGCAAAGCTTTTGTGGAAAACTTTCCTTTACGGGAGTAAATCAAAGCTAAATGTCATTTAAGCTTTTACAGGATTTAATAACTGCTGAACTTCGTGTGGATCTAATTATTGGACGGCCTAATTAACCACAGGACATGTGAGAATCACTCACCCCTTTGTCTTCATTTCTCCTGCCCCAGGAAAGTATTTCAATTATTTAGTGAAACTTGTCCCACGTAATGGGGCGTGGTTTCTTGCCTCTGCCGCTGAACTGTCTAATTAGTGGCAGCCTCGAAAGCCACGCCCCCCCGATAGTCCCTATAAATGCCCGATTAACACAATTAGTCTACGATTAGGCGACATGTACTCACCGGAAAAGGCGGCGGAAGTCAAAAAGCGGAATTATCGCAGCATCAGGGAGATGATCCGACTCTCCTACACAGTGGGCTTCAATCTGATGGATCCCTCACGCTGCGGGCAGGTGCTCAGAATGTGAGTATTAATGTTGGAGAGGGTAGTGATATAAAGATCTACTATATCACATTATCAGCTGGACTATTGTCCTCAGCCTGAGTAGCCTGGCTTCGCTCTACGGCCACTGGCAGATGTTGGTCAGGTATATTCAGGACATTCCCCGCATTGTCGAGGTAGGTCACTAAAATCTATTTAACCTCACGAAAATAAGCTCACATATTTAATATATATATTAAGGAAATTAAATGTTTTATAGAAAAGGTAAAGGTAAGACAGGGAGTGCCAGCAATCGATTTTATTTTCAATTTAAACATTTTTATCATATTTATAGTCTAGATCTGTTAATATTCTTTATTATTATGTATAGCAAAATTCAGCGTTTACTTAAAAATACAGAAAAATATATATTATTTGATGTGTTTTTAATGCTTATTTTTCAGACAGTTAGCACCGCCTTTCAGTTCCTTTCTTCGATAGCGAAGATGTGGTATTTTCTATTTGCCCATCGCCAGATTTACGATCTATTGCGAAGGGCCCGTTGTCATGAGTTGCTGCAAAAGTGCGAGCTTTTCGAGAGGATGTCAGGTGGGTTCGTTGCAATGGAATTAACCTTCTCAGTATTCCATTTCCATAGATCTCGCTGTGGTTAAGATACTTCGTCAGCAGGTGGAGTCCACGATGGATCGCTACTGGGCAAACACTCGGCGGCAACTTCTCGTCTACTTGTATTGTTGCATTTGCATTACCTCAAACTACTTTATCAGCTCCGTTGCCAGCAATCTCTATCGCTACTTTACACGTCCCCAAGGATCCTACGAAATTGTATTACGTAAGTGTAAGGGATAGCCAACCTCAAAATGAAAGAAAATCCTAAAGTATCGTTTTCCTTCACAAGAATTTATTCTTTAAGCTTAGTTGTTAAGAAATGTTGATTATTTTTTAAGAAAGATTTTAAATTACCTAAAACATCTTCAGCTCTGCCATCACTTTATCCAGCCTGGGAAGACAAGGGGTTAGCATTCCCCTACTACTTTATACAAATGTATCTGGAAACCTGCTCTTTATATATCTGCGGCATGAGTGAGTCAATGTATCTTATTCTTTATTGTCGACTATTTACTATTTTATCTCCTTTAGGTGCCATCAGCTTTGATGGAGTTTTCATTGTCTTATGCCTTCATAGCGTGGGGCTAATGAAATCACTCAATCAAATGATTGAAATGAGCACATCCGAGCTGGTTCCTCCAGAACGCAGGGTGGAATATCTGAGATGCTGTATCTTTCAGTACCAACGGGTGGCAAAGTTAGTATTTTTTGACCCCTTACCTTCCCTTTTAACCCGTTTTAAAGCTTCGCAGGTGAGATCAACGACTGTTTCCGGCACATAACCTTCTCGCAGTTCCTGCTCAGCCTTTTCGGATTTGGACTGGCTTTGTTCCAGATGAGCGTGGGATTTGTAAGACCCTGAATCGGGGAAATCCTCTAGAGGAATGTACTCTCCACTGTCCACTCTCCACAGGGCAGCAACAGCAGCATCACCATGATCCGGATGACCATGTACCTGATTGCAGGCGGCTACCAGGTGGCCGTGTACTGCTACAATGGCCAGCGATTTACGACGGCCGTGGGTGACAAAACGGGGGAATCCCCGCACTGATTGATGTCTAATTGCGTGACTAATCTCCAACTCCCACCGCAGAGCGAGCAGATTGGCAAGGCCTTCTACGAGGTGCGATGGTACGGGGAGTCCCGGGAGTTCCGCCAGCTCATCCGCATGATGCTGATGCGCACGAACCGGGGCTTCAGGTTGGACGTGTCCTGGTTCATGCAAATGTCGCTGCCCACGCTGATGGCGGTGAGTAGAGGGTCCTGCAGACCCCCTCCTCCTCCTCCTCCACCTCCTCCTCCCTAAGCATTCCACTTGATTGATTCGCAGATGGTCAAGACAAGTGGACAGTACTTCCTGCTGCTGCAGAATGTCAACCAGAAATAAGGCTCAAAGTTGAATAAAATAACACTGTGGCAATAAAGAAGTATTTTTCAACAGCCAAATAACTGTTATTTCTATATTAATATTGCAGAATAATACAGAAATAGAATTAAATGTGTTTGCACTGGGAAAAATTATAAGTTGAATTGATAAGTAAATTGAAACATAAATATGTAGAATAAAACTCCACCTATGGCTTTATCAATATGGTTTGTATTTAACAGTCAGAGCCATAACATATTCTAAACAAAGAAATCTTAATTATTAAATTTGTTCGTAAAAGTATATCTAAACTTAATAAAAACTCACTTTTTTTATCCGCACAGTAAAAATAATGATTGTTTTGTGCAGCTGAGAACCTAAATTTTGATTCTTGGTTGATTTGGAAAAAAAAATGTTCACCGAATTTCGCATTTTTTATAAGGGGTAACACTATGATTTTTTGGGACAACTGGCCCAAAATAAAATTTCTTAGCTGAGAACACCAATGGATTGGAAATTTTTTACCGAATCCCACGATGTACAACATTCCAAGGTCCGACCATTATTTCCAAGGGTTTTGATCAAAAATCCGAAAAAAGAGATGTTTTTTTCCGGATATTGGCCATTAAAAACATAAATTTAAAAACACATTTTTATACCCTTGCAGAGGGTATTATAATTTCAGTCAAAAGTTTGCAACGCAGTGAAGGAGACATTTCCGACCCTATAAAGTATATATATTCTTGATCAGCATCACCAGGAGAGTCGATCAAGCCATGTCCGTCTGTCCGTCCGTCTGTCCGTCTGTCCGTCCGTCCGTTTCTACGCAAACTAGTCCCTCAGTTTTAAAGCTATCTGCTTGAAACTTTCCCAAAAGTTGTCTTTCTATTGCAGGTAGTATATAAGTCGGAACGAGCCGGATTGGGCTACTATATCATATAGCTGCCATATAACTGAACGATCGGAAATGCCATAACTTTGGTGTTTTTCAAGTTAGCAAGTTAGGAAGTTCTATGGGTTTTAGTTTTGGCTAATCAGTCTGACTTACCAAATTTCATAAGGATCGGACGACTATATCCTATAGCTGCCATATAACTGATTGATCGGAAATGCCATAACTTTGGTGTTTGTAAAGTTAGGAAGTTGGGATTATCTATGGGTTTTATTTTTGGCCAATCAATCCGACCTGCCAAATTTCATAAGGATCGGCCGACTATATCCTATAGCTGCAATATAACTGAACGATTGGAAATGACATAACTTTGGTGTTTTTAAAGTTAGGAAGTTGGGATTTTTTATGAGTATTAAGAATGCATTAATAAATAATTTTGGAGAATATAATTTACAGAATATTCTGCAAGGGTATATCAACTTCGGCTCCGCCCGAAGTTAGCTTTCCTTTCTTGTTTTGTTGTAACTTTGCCAAAATAAGACGCACAGGCAAAAGAATGACTATTTTGTCCAGCTGGGAACCTATACAATTAATTTCAGGTTGATTTGGTAACATTTACCACTTGATTTTTTGCCAAAATTGGGCCAAAAAAAAATTTTGGAGCTGAGAATACCAATCGATTGGAAATTTTGTAACGATTTCAACGAGGTATGACATTCCAACATATGACCTTTATTTCCAAGAGTTTTTATTAAAAAACTGAAAAATCGAGCTGTTTTTTTCTGGATTTTGGCCATCAAAAACATATATTTAAGACACATTTTTTCAGCGTTTTTTGTTGTAATTTTGCCAAAATGGGCCGTAAAGCCAAAAGAATGACTGTTTTGTGCAGCTGACAACCTACACAATCGATTCCAGGTGGATTTGGTAAAAAATTTTTTTTGACCGATTTTCACATTTTTTATAAGGGTTAACACTTGAATTTTTGGCCAAATTCGGCCAAAATAAAATTTTTGAGCTGAGAATACCATCGAATTGTAAATTTTGTAACGAATTCGGCGACGTATGACATTCCAAGATACGACCACTATTGCCAAGGGTTTTGATTAAAAAACTGAAAACATTAAGTGTTTTTTCCTGGATTTTGATCATCAAAAAAATATATTTAAGACACATTTTTTTTAACGTTTTTTGTTGTATTTTTGCCAAAATAGGCCGCACAGCCAAAAGACTGACTGTTGTGTGCAGCTGACAGCCTATAGAATCAATTCCAGGTGGATTTGGTAAATTTCATTTTTTGACCGATTTTTGCATTTTTGATAAGGGGTAACACTTGATTTTTTGCCGAAATTTGACGAAAATTAAATTTTTTAGCTGAGAATACCATTGGATTGAAAATTTTGTAACGAATTCAACGAGGTATGACATTCCAAGATCTGACCATTATTTCCAAGGGTTTTCATTAAAAAACCGACAAGTCGAGATGATTTTTTCCGAATTTTGGCCATCAAAAAAATATATTTAACACACATTTTAAACGTTTTTTTGTTGTAACTTTGCCAAAATACGAAGCACAGACAAAAAAATGACTGTTTTGTGCAGCTGAAAAGCTGTAGCAATTCCAGGTTGATTTGGTGAAATTTATTTTTTGAGCAATTTCCGCATTTTTCATAAGGGGTAACACTTGATTTTTTGCCAAAATTGGGGCAAAATGAAATTTTTTAGCTGAGAATACCATTGGATTGGAAATTTTGTAACGAATTCAACGATGTATGACATTCCAATTTAGGACCATTATTTCCAAGGGTTTTCATTAAAAAACGAAACTTTTGTTGAAGGTTTCGGGCTTTTGGCCATAAAAACGTTTTTTAAGCGTTTTTTTTCCAACTTAGATAATGTTTATATGTTTATGTATATTTTTTTAAGTTACAAATTATTTGTTTAATTAACATTGACAAAATTACATATTTATTTTTGCGAGTGTGCACTAAAACTGTCTGGCTGAAACTGTTGACAGGATGCGGATTTCGGTCAATCAATACTCCAGTGTCCGTTGTCCTGCGTCCTGCGTCCAGTGTCCTGTGCCCAGTGTCTTCTCCTGTCAGTCAGATTGCCCCGTCCATAAGTTTTGATGGTCGTGCGGCGCATTAAAATAATGAAATTGCCAGTAGATAAGGAGCATCGATGCGGCTGCCATTCCCGTTTCTAATCAATTTTATTTATTTGGCCGGGCATTCAGCGGAGCGAAACAGAGAGCCTCGGCGATTGTCTTCATGTTGGCTGTTGTATAAACAAATATATGCCGCTTTAAATGCCTTGCCTCCCAGCAAATCGCGTCTTTAATTGTTAGTTTCGCTTTTATTCCCATCTCGGGGACCCTGACTCTCAATATTTTTAATGCACGTTTGCTGTTTGCGCTTCCTTTGTTTGCCTTTCTTTATTTTCTTCTCCTTCTTTTATCATCTTTGCCTCACTTTAGTGCCTTGCGCAAAAAGGACATCTTTTCTTTTCGGTTTATTGAGGCACATGAATATTCTTTAGCTGCTTATATCCCGTTCCCTTGCTGTGTGCGAACGCTTTTTCAGGCATTTATTTTTCGCATTATGCTTTATATTTGTCCAAGGACAAGAATACTTTATGCATTGTGGGCTTGCTGTTATCCAGTTTGTGTTTCTTTTTCTTTTTTTAAGACCATTACCGCAGAGTGAAATATTGGAACTCGACACTTGCAGGATAAAATTGCTGTGTTATTGCCAGAAAAGCTGGGCTTTATGAAAATGCAAAATTGTTTTTAATACCCAGAAATAATTCATAATATATACCGTTTTGTAAGCACATAAATAGAAAACAAGAATAACTTGTTGGTAATTAATTTATACTTTTAAATAAAATCTAAAATACATAACACTCTTCTGAAATTAAAAGTTTGTTTTCAAATATAAAATAAATTCTTCATTCACCATCTTACAACTCGAATTAATATTTTTTCGTGAGTGTAAGCTCTTTAAAGTGACACTTCCCACCTTCAACTTAATTGCAGCTTAATTTCCTGACTTTTTATTTATTATATATATTTTTTCCCGCCATTCACTCCTCTGATAATTGTCCAATTAGACTGACAATAAAATAAAAGTTGTTGACTCACTGGCCACAGCTCATTAAGGGCACCTGTACCTTCAATGTTTGCTCTTTTTTTCTTTATGTTTGGCTGGGAAAATGGATTCGTCCGCGTGGGAAATGGGGAAAAGTCAATGCCAAAGGAGGCGAGTCAAAGGCTGGCATGATAAATGAGCTGCACTCGAATGCACACGTGGGACAACCAGGACTCCCAGGACATTGAACGCCCACTCTAACTTATACTGCCTTAAATACCCTTTTTGCAATGCTGTAGAATTGTTTGTTTAGCACACGGTTGAGCGAGTTTGTACGCGTGTGTTCTACTTGTCAGTCCTTGGACCGGAGCCACAGGGCGTATACGCAATGCAACGTATTTTAAGCTTATACTTCACGGGAAATACAGCCATAGCTGTAAACGAGATTCTCGTTAAATGAATGCCAAATATTTTCATTAACACTTCGGTGCCTTTGCTTGTTGAGCAAATTAAGTGCGAAAATATACAAAGCAAAGAAAAGTAAATTTAAATGAAAGAAAATACAGAAAACAATTACACCAGCTAATAATGTTTTATTTTTGTAAAATGCCGGTTAAATAATTCTAAATAATGTATATATTAATATGGGTGTTCATGTCTTTGTGAATTGATTGATTTTAAAGTTCAGCGAACTAAAAATTGCCCGAAGGACTTTATCTGTAAACTACCACTTCTTTGTCATTACTTAGCTTGAAAAATATGAGGAAGAACTGAAGGGAAAATTCCATGATTCGGATAGCTAGAGGTATCCAAAAATAAATCAGTTTTATTTACTTCCGCCAACTGTTGTCCACATCAGTGCTGCCACTTTTTACTTACAGAAAACGTTTTTGCCGGAAAATACACTTAAAGTCAATAGTTTTTTGAAAAATGGTGTAAAAATAAAGTTGTTTCATAAAAATTGTACCCGGCTTTTAGTCGATTGCCATCCATATCTCTCGATTGCTGCTTTTGGCCCCATTATTCATAATAAGTCT